GTGCGTACACCGAATCATGTTGTGTCTGATCTAACTTGATCCGAATCTGGGGTCTGTGACGGAGAAAGCCCGAGTTAGCTAGCCGAACGTGGTTGGAAAACTAGGGTTCCTCGGATTCTCCCTATCAGTCAACTGATCTGTATTATTCGCTCTCGACCCACCAAGCCATGCCCGATACCGAGATGGATGGTAGATAGTAGAACCCTAGTCTCCGGCATCTCCCATGGGAGTTTCCATCACAGCTTGCTTCCACGCTCATTGACTGCTGCTGCCCTAAAGCTATCCCACCAGGCCTAAGAGTGTCCCAGTTGCCATTTGATTGCCTCACGGAAGTCCCCGCTAGGCCTAGAGTCTGTCCACAGCGCTATCTTCTGACCCGCATTCCCCAGATATGCATCCCTGTGACGCTGTCCAACGAAGGTGTTCTGGGCATCGTTGATAACCGGAGACACTGATGATTATCAACCTGTCACGTTTCTATTATGATCTGTCTAGATATAGAGCCTCTCCTCGGCCTCGACATATTCACCATATTCTACCACTTTCAACAGGTTCCTCTCTAGACCGAATAGACCCCGGAAGAGTGCGCCAAGAACGAAAAACGAGGAAACAAGACAAGAAACAATTGGCTTTCACTGGCTCGTCTTTCTCATTGCTGCCCTCAAAATGACGCTTAAAAGCATGATCTCCAATTCGACCCTCGGGCAGTACATAAATACAATTCGTAATGCTCCGCGGGAACTGATTTTCAACCGTCGTCTCCTTCTGACCGTGGCCATGTATGCCATGAGCGGAATTCCCATAAGTGAGTAACAAGAAGAAGAACACACTCAGACCTCTTCGAGCATATTTTTAACGGCTATCACATAGCCTGGGACCAAGGCTCAGTCTCCGTCATTTACAAGCTCCCCAGTTGGCAGGCCGCATTCGGATACTCTGATGCCTCCCAACCCGCCGTTTCCAACATGATCTCCTTTGTCTGGATCACTTGCGGTCTCGCCTCGGGCCTCTGCGTCATGGTCAACGACCGCATCGGTCGTCTCTGGTCTTTCCGTCTCTATAGTCTCGTCTACATGATCGGCCAGCTTATTGCTACATTCTCGAACGGAAATATGGGTGCCCTCATCGCGGCCCGTCTGGTGGCCGGCGCAGGCATTGGCCCTCTGACCGTCACGGGGCCGCTGTCCATCGTCGAAATTGCCCCAACCGAAGCCCGAGGTCTCCTGACAGTTTGGTTCAGCATCGTGATGCTTGCCAGCTTGACACTCTCCACCTTTGTGCCTTATGGCGTCTACGTCAACATGCCAAGCAGCACAACCGATAAGCTCCAGTACCAAATTGTTTACTTCCTACCCATCATCCTGCTGACCCCGGTCATAATCTCATCCTTTTTCTTGAGCGAGTCACCACGCTGGCTCTTCCTCCAGGACCGTCATGAGGAGGCCGCCGCTGAGCTTGTTCGCCTACGTGGCCTCCCAGAGACCCATCCTCGTGTAGCCTCAGAGCTAGCTTCCATTCGAAACCAAATTTCGGAGGAGAGAGCGCGCTACGGACAGGGCGGGAGTAACTGGAAGTCTGTTCTTCGAGAGACGTTCCTCGTCCGCGCCAACCTGCGACGAGTGCAGATGGCATTCATGGCCTATGCCCTGGCCCAGTTGAGCGGTGCCAACGCCGTCACGAGTTATCTTGTCAAGATCTTTACTCTATTGGGCATGGGAAATGATGTGAAGCAGCAGTTGTTCCTCAGTAGTATGTACTCGTTCGCAAAGTTTTGGTTTACCATTATCGCGTCCTTCTTCTTCATTGATGCGCTTGGTCGTCGGATGTCACTCTTTATTGGGATTTCCCTCCAGCTCATCTCTCATCTCTATCTGGGCATCTTCATCAAGTTTAGACAGGATGGTGCCCATATACCTGCCTCGGCCTCACAGGCCGCCATAGCAGCCATTTTTATCCACGGCTTTGGCTACGCCGTTGGTATGTGTCCTCTCCGCGAGCTTGGCTCGTACGCCTGAATGAAGACAGAAAAGGTTCACTGACTGTCCATTTAGGCCTCCTCGTTCTTCCCTATGTATTTGGAGCCGAAATCTGGCCCAACCAGATCCGGAGCTTTGGTTCCAGCTTTACCCAGCTCACCCACTGGTTCTTCGCCTTCGGCATTAGCAAAGGGATGCCTTCTATTCTCACGGACATGGACAACTGGGGAGCCTTTATTTTCTTCGCTGGCTGGTGTCTAGTCTCCCTCATTTATGTCTTCTTCTCGGTGCCTGAGATTGCTGGAGTCTCAGTCGAGCAACTCGATGATCTATTTACAGGACCCTGGTGGCAGATCTACAAGAAATCCCGCGGGTGGCAAGCCAAGGATGACAATGTTTTGCAGTCCGTTAAGACAAAGTAAGTGCCAGACCTGATGTGCCCTTGAATTATTTAAGTGCGGATTCTCATTCCTTTCGTTCCAGTGGATCTGGCCAAGACAATGTTGATCAGCCTGATGGTGGGAAGGCCAAAATTAACGCCCAAGTCAACAAGATGGTGTAGATGGGTAGGAGAAGACTTGGTCGATTGATTAGTTGCGGTTCTGCCTCGTTCAATATGTGCCCCGTAACTGCTACCTGCTCAATTTCTACTAACCGATGTTCCTTCACTCGATTAGCTGTTGTTGACTTGGAGACGAATAATATTATAGTAATTGAATATGTAACTCTGGTCTCGTAAAACTCTTCTTTTTTGGTTTCATGTAATAGCAATCGCTCACACTAATTGCCAGCCATTCATCATAACGGTCAAAAGTCTGCTACCGAAACCTAACAAGAGGCCTCAAGTTGATATAACTCCCTCACCTCAACAAGCGGCTCGAGAATTTTTTTAATATATGTAAACATATTATCGCAAGACCAAAACTGGTACTGACATACTTATTTCTTCTCTGCCTCGGCCCTTTCATCATCTACAGGAAAACTGCATCCTAATCTTCAGTAACGGATGATGTTATCTATATAGAAAGAGCTTTACTATTGCCATCCGGAAGTACTCAAGGGGGAGCTGACTTGAATAAGAATGGTGCATCGTAGTTGATCTAGAACTTGCTGTTTCAGGCAGGATTGCTTAACAGGATGTTGCGATTATTAGCGAAGTATGGTCGAGGCTATCATAGGGTTGAACGTTTCTACACCGTTGGATAATTATTTAATTGAAGGATGGTGTTTTCCCTCTTTAGTTCGTGTTTCCATTTTATAATGTCTGTTTATTCTATAAAACTTGGTCCACGACAACCTCACTGGCTGTATTGACCGGGTTTACTGGTCTTCCGTTGGTAAACAGTGACCTAATGTTCTCGAAACACTCTCTTTCAGCCTTCTTAAAAGCTGACTCTGTCAGGCCGCCCATGTGTGGCTGGCAAATGACCTTGTCGCTCGTCTTGAAGTACTCATTGATGCGAGGCTCATTGTCGAAGACATCCAGGCCCGCCCTCGTCAGCTTGCCACTCTCGAGCGCCTGGATCAGGGCATCCTCGTCCACGACAGGTCCTCTGGCTGTGTTGACTAGGAAGGCACCCTGCTTCATGGCGGCGAACTCGGCATTGGAGATGAGACCCGTTGTCTTCTCGTTTAGTGGGCAGTTGACGGAGACGACGTCCGAAGCCCCCAACAGCTCGTGCAGCGTGGGGCAGTAGGTGGCGGCATATCTGGACTCCTCCTCGGGACTCAGGCGTCTGCGGTTGTGGTAGAGGATCTTCATGTTGAACACGGCAGCCTTGCGGGCGAGATACTTGCCAATGCTCCCCATGCCGATGATGCCGAGCGTCATGCCGGAGGGATCCTTGCTGGGTACCAGACCAGCTTTCCAGCTCCCATCGCGGGCGCCACGCTCGGCGCGGTAGGTGTCGCGGACAACGGCCAAGGTCAGGAAGAGGGCCATGTCGGCAGTGGCCTCGGCGACGGCATCGACTGTATTACAGAACCAGATGTCATTCTTGGTCATCCAGTCAACGTCGAATTCATTGAATCCGGCCGAGGCAGACGTGATAATGCGGCAGCCTGGCGCGAGCGAGGTGAGAAGGTCCTCGTCAAAGGGTTCGTATGGCGGGGTTCCCATTCGGATGACGAAGGCGTCGATTGGGCCATGTGCCTTGATCATGGCAGGGAGCTTAGCCTGAGTCTCCTTGCGATTTGTGGCATTGAGGACCTGTCACATCATCATTAGCTTTTGGTCATCGCAACGAGGGTGGAAGAAATGCCAAGGGTTGGTAGTCACATCGAAATCAAAGTCCTCTTTGAACTTTGCTAGGAAATCCTCTCCAACGAACTTGGGTGTGCCGAGAGCGACAACACGAGGCCTGCGTTGTAATTTCCCAGGGGACATATTGGCGGATGAGGTGAATGCTGATCAATGAACTCGTAACTCGATATTGAGAAATTGACCGCCGGTGATGATCGGAATCGAAACCAGGATGAAGGATGCAGAAAAGATTATGATACCAGAGCAAGTTTGGTTGATATCAACATCAGACCAGATGGCCAGTGCCGGTTGATTTAATCCGGAGCCCGTAACAGTGGGAATAATCTGATCAGCAGCGCTACCTGACCCCTGTAGAAAGAAAACCAAGGTGCATTTTCATTGTACATGTAAGAAGTTCATAGTGTTTCGGCCGGTCAGTTGAACAACCCTAGCCAATCTACTGCATGTCGGATTCCTCCGCTACTCCACCATCTCGGATTCCTCCGACCTGATGGAGTCAGAAACTAGACTCCACACCACGCAATTGCCCCAACCGGGGCTAGTGTGTCCCAAGGGACTTGGAGTGATGGGAGGTAAGTTTTCATTCTGACGCTCCCTCTCTCTTGGCGGGGATAGGAGGTAGCAAACGTTCCATCGGCTAACGAACCGAAGACTAGAGTCAAGCAGCGAAGGAGGAGCGTAATCACTGCCGGATTGTGATAAGACGTCACTGGGCCAACGATCTCAATATAATTCCATCTTCCGTAGGGCCTACCACCATCATGGCAGGGCCACCATCTAACTCAATCCAAACTATCCCAGCCATCCCTTCTCTGGGCTTTATAGCGACTGATATACACTTCCCCCGTCCACCCGGAGACCCGTTCAACGAACAGACCTGGCCGTTTCCCTTGATCCGGGAGCAAGCCCGGGGCTCTACCGAGTCTGATATTGTCACAGGGACAAAGTACGACGATGCCTTCATCGAACGCTTCGTCGAAGCTGGCAAGAAGTTGGCCGACCGTGGGTGCATCGGCATCATCACGAGCTGTGGCTTTCTAGCTATGGCTCAGAGCGAGTAAGCACAGGCTGGCATTGAATATCCAAGCATCAGCTGCAGTCATCTAACATGGTGGACCAAAGACTGTCAGCGAGGATTCCTATTCCCATATCAACGTCGTCGCTACTTCAACTACCTTCACTACTCGCAATCCTTCCATCCAACAAATCGATTGGGATTCTAACCTATGACGACGCCCGTCTTGGGCCCCTCCACCTTTCGCAGCTCGGAATCGACACAACAAAGAGGGTCATTCCCATCCGTGGAGCCCCGGCTCATGGCCATCTGCGCCGCCTTATCACCGAGGGTGGGCCATATGTTCATCGCGAGATTGAAGATGAGTTGGTAGGTGTAGCCAAGCGACTGATTGTGGATTGCGAGGAAAGTGGCACGCAGATTGCAGGACTTTTGTTGGAGTGTACGCAGATGCCACCCTTTGCTGAGGCCATTCAGAGGGCTATCGGGGTGCCCGTGTATGATGTGTATACAATGGGGATGTGGTTCTATTCCGGCCTTGCCACTCGCCGGCCCCAGAGATGGGGTGACAAGTTTGTACAGTAGACTTGGATGAAATCAATCACCAGAACTACGCTCCCATTCTTTACGTAAAGTTTCGTTTAGCACGGATAAAACGTTCTCGCTAGCATTTCGAGGTCGAGCCATGCGTGAGCACTGGAATAAGATATGGTTCAGCGGGTATCAGCATCAGGCCATCAGAACCATTAGCACAATTGATTATTAAAAGTCGCAACGGTCAATAGTATAGTCCATCATCCATTCACGGCGTTGTAAAAAGAAATAGGGTCGAGGCCAGCCAATGCCATTCTAACATGCCTACAACAAAAACTCCGCACTAGTCTCCTTCATGATCATCTCATATTCGGGGATAAACTGCAAGTACATCACGGCAGGCGACCCAGTCCCGTCCTTGGTGTATCTGGCCTCTTTCTCTCCGATGTAGGTCTTCTCAATCTTGCCACTGGCCACGGCAGCCTCCACGAGAAGCTGCGTCTCGCACGCCTGCTCCAGGGCGATAAAGAATGCTGCCGCCTCCGCAATGGTCCCGCCGCTGGTCAAGAGGCCATGGTTCCTCATGATGAGATTCTTGTTTTTAGGACCCAAGGCATCGGCGATACGGTAACCTTCTTCCTTGGCGAAGACAACCCCTCCAAAGTTGGAATACACAGATAGGTCGTCGTAAAACATACAAGAGTCTAATGATACATGATACGTGAGTTTGGTAATTGCAACACGAAGATGAACATTGGGGGTGGACGAGGTCAGGTTAGAGGATTAAAAGGGGAGGGGTTCTACGTACCCTGGTTTAGCATCTCAATGGGCTTTCCAAACGTCGACCAGGCGCGTCCAAAGCGACTGTGCATGTGGCAGGCAGCATTAATATCAGGTCTTTGCTGGTGGATGGCAGAGTGTATCATGAAGCCAGCGACGTTGACTGGGCCATCGGCGCCGCCAATGCGATTCCCTTCCTTGTCGATGTGTATCATGTCCGAGACTGTGAGCATGCCAAAGTGAGTGCCGTAGGGGTTGATCCAGAAGGTCTCTGGGTCCACGGGGTCTGCTCTGGCCTTGGTAAGTCATCTGCACAGACTCAAACACAAACATGGGCCGGATGTGACATTGTCCGGCTAGAGGGACTAAGGTATAAATGTACTGACCTCTCAGGCTAATGTGACCGCTCGATCCATCAGCGAACCCGAGCTTGGCGAAGATGCGGAAGGCACCCGCCATCTGTTCTAGTTGCCATTGCCGTTGAGCCTCCTTGGTCTCTGGGTATGCAATGCGCCGGGTACGCTTAGTCTCAGCGTTGAGAGCAGCGAAATCAGACTGGAGCTTGAGGGTTGCCGACGTTTGGGTGACTACCGTTGAGGACATTGTTGTTGTGTTGTGGTGTGTTGTGCTGTCGAGGATGGAAGAAACAATTGATTCTGGCGATGCTGTTTCCCAAATTGAGCTACTTGCAAGCCGATGGCCGTTCAAGCTGCGAGGTCTCGGAGCATTCTCATCTTGATTGGCGCGGTCTAAATAACGGCCGTGACTCGGCTTCCCCCGAGGAGTGGTGACAGTGATACCATCAAATTACTCAATGCGCCCCCCGTCACCCATCTCACTCGTGTTTTCACGCGTGACTTTTGTCTACCCGCTGTAAACGGCGACTACCGAGACTGATCCACCCTGCTGGGAGGGAACTTGGCTCTTAGGAGCCGCCAGCTTGCAAGTCACTTTATGGGAGATGCCGGGTTCCATCAAGCATCAGTTCAATGTTGTTTCCGATGGGTGAACTGGGGGAAAGGAACCGAACAATGATGGGTAGGGCTTCCAGCTTGCTTGACATTCTATACAATGCATCTAAGTATTCCATGCACACGGGGTATCGTGCAGTCTGCCTAGTGATGTGTATATCAATGTATCAATCATCCCCGCTCGTCTTATCTTCCCCTCCTCGCCTGACCTGCCCCCACCCAAACCAAGATCACTGGCTATCTAGAGCCGACTCATATAAACATACATATACAATATATTAGCATACATACACATTATCGATTCATCACCATGGCCCCAAGCGCCCTCGGCAAACACATTGCGAATCCCGTGTGGGTTGACCGGGATGCCCTTCGTACAGACTTTACGCTTGCCATGTCGGCAATGTACAAGGCTGAGGTGCCACTGTACGGAGATCTCGTCCAGATTGTGACCAGGATCAATGCCGAGTTGGTTCACCAATCTTCTCTGGACCCCAAGGTCTTCTCCCTGAGATATGGAGACGCGCAGTCCACTCGTCTAGATATAGAGCGGCACGGCGCCATTCGCCTCGGCACTCCACACGAGCTGAGCACAATCCGCCGGCTGTTTGCTCTTATCGGCCTGTATCCTGTCGGATACTATGACCTCTCCGCGGCAGGCCTTCCAATGCACGCTACCTGCTTCCGCCCGAGGAGCGAGGCCTCGCTGCTAATGAATCCCTTTCGCGTCTTCACCTCGGTCCTGCGCCCCGAGCTCCTTAAGGATCGAGAAACAAAGGACCTTGCGCTGGAACTCCTATCCAAACGTACCATATTCAGCGACCAACTCATGCATCTTCTGGATCTTGGAGATATCCAGGGTGGAAGGCTTACCCAGGAACAGGGCAGGCAGTTCATTTCTGAGGCCATCAAGACCTTTGGATGGCAATCTACCGCCGCCGCAACGCACAATGAGTACAATCATCTCCGGTCAGAACATCCCATCCTGGCAGACATTGCCTGCTTCCGTAGTTCCCACATCAACCACCTTACCCCAAGGACGCTCGATATCAATGCCGCACAGGACCAGATGAAGACTGCTGGTATGCAAGTCAAGGACAGGATCGAGGGTCCTCCTGCGCGAGCCTGCCCTATTCTACTACGCCAGACAAGCTTTTTGGCCATCGAGGAACCCATCAGATTCTTAGTCGAAGGTGGCTTACCACTTCTTAGCGGTTCTCACAAGGCACGATTCGGTGAAATCGAGGAGCGCGGTGCCGCTGTAACACCTAAGGGAAGGAAGTTGTACGATGAGTTGCTCGAGAATGCTATGGACCAGGCTAGAGCCATAGCGGGAGAGGGAGATGGCCTTTCAACCGAGGCCATGGACGAGCTTGTCAGTCACGTCTTTAAAGCATATCCCGACGACTGGGATGAGCTGCGGAGGCATGGACTCATCTTCTGCACTTACAGATGCACCGCCAAGGGCCTCAATAGTCGATTTACACTAAGCAAGTACAGCCTCGAGACACTTGTTGGTTCAGGTTTTGTAGAAGCGCGGCCCATCACGTACGAGGATTTCCTCCCCCTGTCGGCCGCGGGCATTTTCCAGTCGAATCTCGGCTCGAAAGGATCCCCCAAGGAGCACGTAGCTCGTCCAGATGAGAGAGGCATGGAGGAGGCACTTGGTGTCGCGCTCGAGGACTCGGATGAGCTCTACACAAAGATGCAGAACGACAGTATCAATGAGTGTGGTTCCGTTCTCTCTATTACCATCGAAGTCTAGGTAGCAGAGACTCTGGCTTTAGCTCAGAACGATATTCATTCCATCCGTAGTTTGTAATTGATCTTAGCTCCAATTGAAAACTTCAAACATACAACATGCAGTGTTGCTCGCGACACTCCAAACGGGCATGAGTAAATTGAAACTGTCCACGTCCACCATCCATTCAGCCATCCACACCTGGCCGATGCACATCTGGCGGCAAATGTTCAGGGGGCTGTTGTGCCACCGGGGGAAACATTTGTCCTGTAGCATCCGCCGTCTGCGGATCCATGAAGGGGCCGGTCCCATCGTTAGGTATTCCTAGAAACGGCATACCTCCATCCCCGTTCATCCCCATCAAAGCATCCTGATCAAATTCCCTCATACCGTGAAGCAATTCTTCGACGAGCCACTCAGAATCCTCGGGTACGGGGAAGTCGTTGATGCCCGTCAGCCAGTCCTGGAACCCCGTCTGGTCGTTCACCTGCGCCAGCTTCGACAAGGGGGAAGCGCCGGGCAGCCCACCAGATGTGATTGTAGTCTCGCCACAGACCATGCTGATGGTCTTGACGGACAGGAGCTCAAAGATGTCGCGGTATCGCGTCGCAAAGCTCCAGCGCTCAGCCGTAATCGTGAGCACCATGGTGCACGCCATGCAAGTGTTCATGACGTCGGTCTGCCTGGTCTTGGCTCGTACGCTTCGGCACCTCCAGAGGCAGAACAGGTATGTGAGCCCGGCGAGGAACAGAATATGCAGTGACCCCCATGTAAACTGGATAGAGGAGCTCTGGTAGAGCCGGCGGTAGCGCATGCACATCTGCCTTGATGAGTTGGCGCATTCCTCGAATATCCTATCAATCTTCTCCTGCCTCTCTGCGGGGTCGTGAATAGCAACCTGCTGTTCGCCGATAATGTAATGGCGGTATAAGAGAAGGATTGAATGCTCATATGCAAGCTGGAACCAGTCTCGTGATGCGAAGACAGAGAGGGGGTCGGCTGACAAGATGAGCTGGTCTGGGATAGAGAGTCGCCAATCCTCGAGCTCCTGACGTAGCCTGTCGATGAGCATATCAGCCTCCCCTCCCTCGTGACGAGATGTCGTCAGGTACAGAGACTCGGCCATCTTTGACCAGAGCCTTCGCAACCTGATGTTATGCAAGGCGCCAGTCATCGTCGTTGGCGGGTCGCCGGGGGCCGATCTTGGATTCTGTAAAATGCCATCCCGGGTGATGCTCTCGTCATCTACATCCAGGGGTAGCTCCACATCCAGCGAGCTATCAGTGATACCAAATGGACGGCCCAAGATTAGCCCAGCCGCGCGGTCAAGATCATAGGCAACCCAGAAGATACGCTTGGAGATCTCAGCAGTCAGGGGGTCGGCGTGCCTACGAAACTTGGCTACGTTTCGATGGTACCCGAGCTCGATGCACTGGCGAATGGCCATGCCCGAAATCTTCCAAAGGCTGACCCCGACAGGTGAGCGGACGGAATAGACAGCACAGCAAAGAATGGCTTGGACGGATTCGAATGTTTCAAGGTCGAGCACCGGAGCGATGTAGTTTAATGCCATGTGATAGTAGGACTACCCCCCATATAGCGGTTAGCATTCAATGACAAGAATAAGGACAATAAGAAAGGATTTGTTCAAACGAACCTCTGCCTTCTCTCTTTGGCCCGAGGGCATGACTAGGGATCCAATCGCGTAAATCTAACGAGTTAGTCGCGTGTCATTGGCCAAGTACAAATCAATCAAGACCTACCATGAGAGTGAAGAACATGGACATGTGTTGTGATTCATCAAGCTCCCCAAGCAACTGAGCCTCCATGCACTCCTTCTGCCAGTGATTGAAAGTTGGTCTATGCAAGAAAGGATACTGCGGGTGTATATTATTGAAGTAGGCCTTGACTAGCCCTTCGGCGAGTTCGGGTGGAGGAAACCTGACGGTTGGACTTCGCCGGCCGTCTAACCGTTCTCTCGCGACGCCAAGCCGGGCGTTACCTTCATTCCCACTCTTTGTCAGCCTTAGGGTCGTACTCACAATCCTGGAGAAGGACAGGGCCGAGGACGGGCCAAAGTAGTGAGGTTCACGGCCCGCGGCGCTGAGGCAGAGCAGGGCCACGTCACTAGAAAGCCCGTCGACTTCTTGCTCCGGCTCCGGAGAGCCTGCTCTTTGATGTTGGCCTGCGGCAATAGTGGCCGGAGGGGGAGGGTTGTCGCTAGGTACGTAGGGATAGTGGTCCACGGCGACATCTGGGCGGACCTGTTGGAGGAGGGATTCTAGATAGGCGACTCGCGATTCAAGAGACTGCATGTAGTCTCGCGGACGGTGGAGCCCAGTCGCGGGGTCTTCGACGAGGCACTCTACGACGACGACAATGGGTGAGCGAGTGTTGGTTGCCATTGACGGCATAACCGGGACCAGGAGATGATGTAAGGAACATACCTTTGCCTGTGCGTACGCAGTTGTGACATTTGGGGCTCTGTGCATCGCACTACATCCGGAACAGCTGTCAGCTGCTTTCCGTAGAACGGCATGGGCATTTGTTCTCGCCTTGAGCTTCTTGTGTTTACAGTGTGTGCATGCCAGCATGGTCCGCTCACCGATACGAGGCCGCTTGGAGCCATGGGGGTTTCCGCCGGCCCCACGCTGAGAAGAGCTCATGGCGAAATGCGAACGAATGATGAGATGGTAATGCTAAGTTGGGAGATGTAACAATACAAGTGACCAGGTTCCATCACACTTGTTCTCCCCGGCTCTAATGCCAAAAACTGGGGCTTATCTTCTGAGGGCTTGGCGAATCGGCAATCCCCGACCCATCTTTTCATCGAGGGTTTGTATGGTATGAAGCTACTTGTAGCAAAATGACGCGTGAAATCAACAGAGCTGGCGCGCTAAAAAACGACTTACTTCAAAACCTTGGCTACCAATGCACCTCGTCATAGTCTCCGATACACTGGATGAGTCGCCATCCTATTGAATAGTCCATCTTTATTGCTAACTGTCTATTTTTCACTATAAATAATTTTGTAAACTAATCATAGTAGTAATAGACTTCTGGAGTTTGAGGATAGAAGTCACTTTCTACATAAACCTATTACCGAGGTAATACTTATCAAGTAACTCCTCTCTTTCAATCTACAATAGGGAGGGGATAGCGAACTGGTTACTTGGGTAACATATGACTAGGTAGTAAAAGGAACTATATACTTGACTTATGTTGTGACTTATAATAGATTAACTATGCAAAAGACTATACTCAAGTTTGTTTTAAGGAGCACTTATAGAGTAGGTATGTTTGATAAACAGTGACTGCATCCTTTGTATCTGAGCAGGGCATAAAGTCACTTTCTTTTGCTAATCATAAAATAAATTCCCACCATAGTAGTTGGGAGCAGAGGTCAGGAGAGTTTGTCCAATAAGTCTTGCAAGAGCATGTTGTTTATGGTGTACTAGCTCGTGTCAAATTCTATACTATCCGATGATCGCTATATTCTCATCTCTCGTCTATTCAATTTTAGTATCAACAAGCTGCCTCAATCGCCATTCCCTCGCAGCAAGGGCGAAAGATCCAGCAGCGCCCGGCCCAAGGCACACAGTCCCCAGTATGTTTTTCCACATGTCCCGCATGCTGTCCCGAGCCTTGGGTGGAGTGGCACTCTGCAGCAGATGGTGGGTAAATATGACACAAGCTGCTGAGAGAACTAGTGCATCGAGCTGCGTGAAAAGATGAGCGCCTTCCAAGAGCGCCTCGTGAGAACCTTGGGGTGCTGTATATACATTTTGCGGCTTCGGCCAGAAGAGCCGCGGCAAGGTCAAATCGGACGTGGAGGGTAGAGTGAGCGCGTTGGCGATGACGTACAAATGTACGGCTGCTGAGATGGCACCAGTGGCCAGGAACGAGGCCACAACCCAAGGGGCATCTTTATGGGGGGCATTCTTATCCTTGGGTGATTCGAAGACAGTTAGTGATGTTCCAGGCCGGCTGCAGAGAACCACAGTCACGACCATGAGCATGGGCGTGAAATGGTAGAGCCCAATGTTTCCTTGATGATCGTAGGAAGGCCAGCTGTGCCACGTAGGAATGAACAGCAGAAGAGGGAATAAGGCATTGGCGACGACTGTGGGTGGAAAGCCACGAGCCTCATTAAGAGGTATAGTCGCATCGCGTGCTGTGTAACCACTGCTGCAGATAAGATAGAAGTATATGGGGGTGATGAAAGCAGCGCCTGCAACATTCCACATGAAGATGAAAATGATGGTACTAAGAATAGAGTCAGAGACTGCGACATGAGATAGGTGCAAACGAGAGTAAAAGCAGCACGACTTACTGGCGTAGAAAGAGATTCCGGACTCCACGACGGCGGCTTTCTATCAGCACCCATGTATCTATTGCCCCCAGTAAATTGCAGAGATGGAAGAGCAGCCATCTGGGCGCATCGGGTTTGGCGTTGGATAGCAGATCGAAGAAAACTACGACATTGCTGAAATTCTTATCAAACAGGGCATAGCCGGTGTAGGTGGTTCGAAGCAGCCGGCCGTCTGGAAACTTGCCTGTCGTCACCACGGCCGACACACCATCTAGGGTGCCGTTGACTAGCATGATGCCCCAAAGCATGATGCAGCCGGCGGCGCTGAGTGCCAGAAGTGATCTCGGAGGCTCCATACCGTATTGAATTGATGGCAGCCGCGATTGTCTGGTTGGCAAAGAAGTCTTCATGAAATCGGTAGGAGGAGATGTCCTCGTAGGACAGAAAGTTATTCACAACTACCTATATCTCCATCGATCGTAAACATCATGTGCCAACCAGTTCTCGAAACACTGTTTTGTAGGTAGTGCTTTGGAATAGGGCTGCCTACTGTAGTGAGCGGAAAATAAAGACCGTGTCTGTGCTGAGTTGAAACTCGGGACCGGCGTCGGGGACCGGAGCGGCGCTCACCTCTGCCAACAAGATGGTCAGGATAGTTGTATATGTGGTTCTTGTCGGAATTGCTGCCCGCCTGAACTGGCGATGTATAATTAACAAGGACGACAGAGCCGAGTTTCGGGCTGTTTCTCTCCGTCTTGGATTTTCCAGGATGGAAATGGCATCATATCATGCCGATGGTTCTGGCGTGTCAGCAATTTCGGCCGAGTTTATGCGACGTCTGGCTTCCCGCTCTGACAGGAAATTTCGCGCTCTAGATCAAAATGATGTACTACAGCAAACGTTGGCCAATGAGCGTACATTATCACTCATATGGGATGGATTATCTTTACATGATCCAGGCCAGATGGCCAAGTAAGCCCAAGTGAATTTGCTGAGCAAGCAAGACGCCGGCTTCTATTCTCGGTATTGCGCGGCCGGGGGCACCGACAAGGAGAACAACTAAGCCGTAGCCAGTCATCTAGCACTGATCTTCGGTACCTACAGAACGGAATCGTTTGAAATTTAGTCATATCACTCAGGCATGTAGTAGACGATGGAGTAATTGATTTATACACATGCTTGTTCACTTTCATATTGTCGATCCCCAGGGCCCTCGAGATATATCACCCGCTCTCAATTGGGCGCCGTAGATACTTTCCGCGTGTAATTCTATGCCATCAATTCCATTCTTTGATTTGACTATCATACACCCCTGAAAACATGAATGCACAAACAGCAGACGGTCGCTTCAAAGTCGTCATTGTTGGTGCAGGCGTCAGTGGCCTGGTTCTGGCTCATACTTTCCACCAAGCCGGCATCGACTATGTCGTTCTTGACAAGCATCCCGTTGCTCCAGCATGGGGTGCCAGCATCAGTATCTTTCCCAATGGAAGTCGGATTCTCGACCAGCTGGGGCTTTACGACATAATGAATACTAAACATACCGAAATGCAATACTTCCACTGTCGTGGGTCTGACGGGAAAACATTTTGTGCTGAACCGTTTCTAAAAGAGATCTCGGATAGGTACGCTCATAACCTCTCAATAGATTTGGTCTAGTGCTAATGCATTTAGTTCTGGGTATCTGGGCATGACAATAGAGCGGAGAATCTTTCTGCAGACGCTGTATGACGAGCTTCCTGACAAGTCCAAGGTCATTGAACATGCCAGAGTTGTGAGCGTAGTAGAGGAGAAAGGTGTGGTCAAGGTCGTGCTTTCGGACGGGGTTGTTCACGAAGGCGACATCGTCATTGGCTGCGACGGCGCACACAGTGCCATCAGGGAGATCATGTGGGAGCGCGCTCATCATCTGTCTCCAGGTCTGATTACTGCCAGTGAGAAACAGACAATGAAGGCGACATATACTTGCCTTATCGGTGTCGCACCATACCAGCACGGCTTAGGGACCAACGTTCTCAGCAGCGTCTCCAACGACAGATTCTCATTCCTGTTCCTCACGCAGCCAGAACAGATTTTCTTCATCGTCCCTATCAAGATGCCAAACGGCGAAGTGAGCAAATATCCGAACCGCCTACGATTCACCGATGAAGATGTCCAAGCCGAAGCCAATAAACTTCTGGACTGTCCCATCTCAGACACTCTGGTGTTTGGTGACATTTGGAAGACTCGTGTCCGGGGCCAGCTGGTTTCCCTCGAAGAAGGAATTCTCTCCCACTGGTCCTATGGACGGATTGTACTGTGCGGTGATGCCATCCACAAGGTCACCCCGAATGCCGGCCTCGGAGGTAACATGGCCATGGAGAGCGCTGTCGTACTGGCCAACGAGATATTCGCCACCATCCAACGACATCCGAACAAGAAGCCTAGTGATGAGGAAATACGCCTCGCATTCAAACGATATCACGAGATTCGCACGCCGAGAGTAAAGGAACTGTTCGACGTTAGCTGGTTATTGACACGATTGCAAGCGTACGATGGCTGGGGCTGGTATGTCGTCCAGCGATGGATTCTTCCGTGAGTACAACTCCTATAAATACCAGTTTTTAAAAAATCACATCTTCTGACATGTTTCTGAACAGCTTGGTGTTCATGAAAGGAGCTAAGCAGCTTGCCGCGTCCATGGCGGGTGCTCCGAAACTGAGCTTTATCCAATTCAAGCAGCGTTCGGGCAAAGTCAACTGGAAGAAACAGGATTGGGAGGTTGAGAGAAAGGTCAAGCCTCAGGTTGAACGAAGCAAAGCCGCATTCAATGGGATCATTGCTTCTATTGTAACTTCAGCTTTTATCGCCTACACAGCAACTGTCTGGTATTTTGGAGGTGGGATGGAAAAACCGCTCTTCTTGGCAAAAGCGCAACTTTCAGCGGTAGCTAATTAGTTATCCTCGCTTCACTCTGGCTTTAAAATTTGCAGGAGATGATGCTGCGTAGCAACATGACCGAAAAGCAAAAGTCTCCTCAAACCTTTCAGATTGCTCTGTCTGCGTGATAAACTTCATCTAATTGTCATAAAAAACCATGGATAATTACTTAAACAGTGTATGAGTAACTTTATTCATTCTGACGCGAACTCAAGCAACTGGCCAGGGTAATTGGTAGTCTTGCAGCAGATATTGTTCTACCTATAGTTTTTATATGTCCCTCTCTGAAGAAAAGGAAAACAGAGCTTCTTTGGCGCGGCTGTATCCAAAGAATATGAAGCCCATAGCCGGGAAGATTCTTTAATTGTAAGTGAACGACCGAAAAAGATAAAGTAATGATAACCCTCAAATATAATACACTCAGATGATGGTCAC